CAGCTAGATATAATGATATAGTAGAGCGGCGCGATAAAGTAGCAGTTAAGGACTATCGTAGACATAAGTAGCGTAATTAGGTTAAAAGTCGATAGCGTGAGTGTAGAGCTAAGGGCGATAGTGACAACTATTAAGGGGTAGTAGAGAAACGCGACAAGATTATAGGCCGCGGTCTAGGTATGATAGACTCGTTCTGATGTGGACTGCATGGCCATTGCAGGACAAATTTCAAAATAAAATCAGTCATACGGTGAGTGTAAATAAGTTGGTTGGCTGATATGAAGAAGAAGAGAAGAAATCATTGCCCAGGAACAAGTCTTTGGGGGGACTGTGAGGGGGGCCCATCACGGTCTCATATAGCGGCATGGTTGCCTGCGGAATGGTCTCATTTGCCTTTGCAACATACGCGACTACGAAAATGACAGAGATCAGAGTGGCACTAAGGGATGAGTTTCTCTTGGTTCGGAGTGAGTCCAATATATTTGGTCCTATCTCGAGTGGGAGTAGCCGGATAGGTTGTCTTGATAATACCAAGAAATGTATCAAATTTCGGAGATTCCAAAAAATGCGAATTTTTTGAAGGTCCATTTTCAAGAGTCTCGCATCTCAGCCAACAACGCCCGTCTCCCTCATGCGACAGGAAGCACCCAGGTTGTCACGGACTGACTTGGAATGTTGCCACTCCACTGCTGGCCACTACTAGTGGAGACAGTAACATAAATATCATTACTGAATGTATTTTCAATAACAACGGTGCGAGTTCCATCTGGATTCAGCGAAGCAACAGATTGCACTCCCCCATTGGAATACGAGTAGCTCCCGGTACCACTCAGCACAATTGCACCCGGCGGCATGAACTTGCTGAACTGAGCCATCATGTAGTAAGCCGGGTTGAAAGTATATCCGCCGTTGGAAATGGTCACAAGGCCTCGACAGTTTCCACAACCGCCACTGGACAGATGCGGGCCATCTTGATCATTTGTGCCAAGTGTCCAGGCAGTAACACCCGATGCCCAGTTTTGTAAAGGCCCCATGGTGAAATCGGCAGCTTGGTTCCACGATGCGGATGCTGGGGTCCAGCATTCTGACATGTATTGCTTGATGTTGGGGTTTGTCTGATGGAACTGGGTGAGGACTGTCCAGTCTACATTGCTGGCATAACAGTGCCAGGCAACCGAGTCGACATACTGACTAGCACCGTTGACAACATTCTGAGGGTAGGATGGCACATCTGACATTCCTCCGTTAGCAAATGGAGTCCTCGTAGGGACCAGATTATCGAGAGCATACCAGTGTTGTGATCGTATGCCCAAACTTTGGTGTCTAGGCCGGCTTGAGCGAGAGCCGGGCCGATGTAGTGTTGGATCAACTGCGCAGACTCGTAGTCATAGACATACATTGTAGGATATCCAGCTTGGCTGTTCAAAGGCTCGTTTTGAATGGTAATCGCATCGATGTGGGCGCCGAGATTTTCATAAGCCTGGATGTATTTGACGAAATATTGCGCAAAGGCACTGGCATAACCAGTACTTCCAGTGCCTCCGCTAGTCAAGTAGCCATCGTTGAGGTTATTGTTATTCGTTGTACCATCAATCGCACCATTCAGCTTCATCCACCCGGGAGCACTCCAGGATGAACCAAAAATCTTCAAACTCGACTGAAGGGACTTCATCTTAGCCAGCATCTTAGCCATGGCATTTCCACGGTCACCTAGGTTAAAACTAGACATAGATGTATCCACATTATTCCCATTATCGTCATAGGTATACGCCGGGTCACCAGACAGGTCGGAAGCACCAATCGTATGACGCATCAAAGCGAATCCAGCACCGGCGCCAGTCATCAGCTCGTTGAGCAGTTGTTGCAGCGTGGAACCGGATAGTGTGTTGAAGGAGGTGACTGTGGCGTCGGTAACAGCGGCTCCAAAGCCCACGATTGTTTGTTTGTGTCCGCTAGATGTATCATCGATACTTAGCTTCCAGGTTGATTCGGAGCCTGGATTGCCCTTGCCTTGAACCGGTGCCGCGACTGACGAGAGCTTATAAGTGCCATCTGAGTTTGAAGCGTAGGCTGATGCAGTGTTTGCTCGCTTCCCAGGTGATGCCTCTGCTAGCACTGAAAGCAGGAGTACAGGAAGAAGAGAGGGAAGCATGATTAATGATGTTTCTCAAGATGGGATTGTAGAAAATGTCTATCTTTTGAGGTAGACTAGACATGTAAAATCTCGGAAAGGCCTGTCTATATATTTTCATAAACGGCAATCTTACATAGGTCTCACATAGGCTGCTGTACCCGGCTATTTTCCTAAAAATTAGTGCAGCAGTTCCTTGAGTAGAAAACAAGCAAAGATGTCGTAAGACTCATAATTTCCGCCACAAGCTGACGAGAAATACCACGGTATCACCGACTAATGCAAGCCACATTTTCCCCAACGGATCCCCGATAGCTTGCCTTCTCTGTCTCGGGTTTTTTGAGTTCGAGGCATCTTCAAGTTGAGTTGCTTAGAATACCATTCCGTGGTAAGTACATTGCCATTATAATGCTTTAAAGGGTGGTTGACTGCATGATCTAGCTGCTTATTCGGGGCGGAATTGCCTGGAAACGGCGTGCAACAATAGGCTGAAACGTCGTAAAAGCATTGATCTACAGGAATAAGAGGGCCAAAGCGACAGCCACAACTTTGATGTGGGAATTATTAGGTCGGAGCGGAAGCGAGAAGCAGCGTATAAATCTTCGGAAAAAAATTCCCTTGCTGTATTAAACCCAAGAAAAGAGAGGAGGGACCCAAATGACGGATCAATTCTGCATCAAGAACTAGATCGTTGAAGTGAATCCAATTTTACACACCTGCTGGCATCATGGTAGGGCACACTCGTGGCAGGGAAGGTCTCCAGCCCTAAAATGCCCTGCACGTGGCTGCCATGATCAGTTGTGCAGGACATTTCAATCATTTTGTGAAAGAATTTACGGATCAGTGAAATTATGCAGAACCTTTGGGGAACAGGTTGAACTTGTGAGAGAAAGTGAAAAAAAAAAGCAAAGAATGCAGGTTGTTGGACGCCGAAAACAGGTCACCTCCAGCATTGCTGTGCTTATGACGTCAACATGCTGGGAACTGGAGTTTCACAAGTTTTAACGGCAGTAAACCCTTTGTTGCACCCAGTGTGCTCTTCGAACTTCGTTCACTGGAAAAAGTCTTGAAAGTGAATTTACACCATGAGTGGCCATACATTCCCTGTCGATCTCAAGCAGTTCAAGCAGCTTAAGCTTGACCCGAAGACCCCACAGCTATCAGCCGAGCAGAAGAGCGATTTGCAACACAATGTAAACATTTTCAGAGATGCCATCATTGCATTCACAGCAACGGGTGCCGCCCGTGGTGTTGCGGGTCACACTGGAGGTCCCTTCGATACAGCTCCTGAAGTCTGCATCTTGCTTGCTTTCATCAATGCCAACCCTAGCAAGTGGGTCAATGCCTTGTATGATGAAGCCGGCCACCGTGTCGCCACACAATACCTGCTAGCTGCATTGGATGGCAAAATCGAGCCGGATCATCTGCTGAACTATCGTGCTGCCGACTCCCACCTCCCCGGCCATCCCGAGCTCGGGTTCACCCCCGGCATTAAGTTCAGCTCCGGTCGTCTGGGCCACATGTGGGGTATGGTGAACGGCATTGCTATGGCCAACAAGTACAAGAATGTGATAATGCTGGGATCTGATGGATCCCAGCAAGAAGGAAACGACGCCGAGGCTGCCCGTCTTGCCGTCGGTAGAAACCTGAACGTTAAGCTTTTCATCGATAACAATGATGTCACAATTGCCGGGCACCCTTCGGAATATCTAAAGGGCTATGAGGTTGCTCGGACCCTTGGTGGACATGGGCTGAAGGTCCTTCGCGCCCAGGGTGAGGATCTCGACTCTCTATACGGCGCTATGTGCGAAGTCATCAACCACAACGGTCCAGCCGCCGTTGTAATCGACCGCAAGATGGCCACTGGTATTGAGGATATCGAGGGAGAAACACACGCGCATGATGTCATTCCCGTCGAAATTGCTCGTAAATATCTCACCAAGCGCGGATACAGCAAGCAGCAGCTTGCTTTCTACGATGATATCAAGCCTGGCTCAAATCCCCACACATACAAGGGTTCGAGCAAGGACAAGGGTGCGAACCGCATCATTTTCGGCGATGCTGTGAACGCTATTCTTGACAAATTGAGCAAGGAGGAGGCTAAGCGTCGCGTCATGGTTATCGACTCCGACTTGGCAGGCTCCACTGGCTTGAAGGCCATCGGCGCTAAACACCCCGAGTCCTTTGTCCCATCCGGTGTCATGGAGCGCGGCAATTTCTCTGCTGCTGCTGGTTTTGGATTTGGCAGCAATGGAGAGCGCCAAGGTGTTTTTTCCACCTTTTCTGCATTCCTAGAGATGTGTATCTCTGAGATCACCATGGCCCGCCTGAACGACTGTACCGTTCTGTCACACGTCTCTCATAGCGGTATCGACGAGATGGCTGATAACACCTGCCACTTCGGTCTGAACCATTTCTTCGCCGACAATGGCTTGATGGATGCCGCGAGTACCGCGCTGTACTTCCCTGCCGATGGCGAGCAGATGAAGGCTGTAGTTAACGAGGTCTTCTGGAACAAGGGCTTACGCTTCATCTTCTCTACTCGTGCCAAGGTCCCTTACATCTTGAAGGAGGGTACGGACCAGAAACTCTTCGGCGAGGGCTACAAATTTGTCCCGGGCAAGGAGGAAGTCATCCGCAAGGGTTCCGCTGGTTACATTGTCTCGTATGGTGATATGCTCTACCGTTCGCTTGATGCTGTTGAGAACCTGCGCGCGGAGGGGCTTGATATCGGTCTGATCAACAAGCCTACCCTCAACGTGGTCGACGAGGAGACCATCAAGATCTATGGATCTTCACCCTTCGTCCTGGTTGTTGAGTCAATTGCACAGAAGACTGGTCTCGGCTCTCGCCTGGGTACTCACCTCCTTGAGCGCAATTTCACACCCAGGTTCAAGTCTATGGGGGCCATTAAGGAGGGCTGCGGTGGTCTGTACGAGCAAGTCAATGCTCAGGGCCTCGGACCAAGCGATATCATCGCCGCGATTAAGAAGGTGTCTGGAAACTAAATCGTCAAATGTCAATACGTAACGATCTTTTCATGTAACAATAATGAAAGATCATTTTTCAATGTCTCGGCCACTGGTTTATCCTACTCAATTTCCTCTTCGTCATTAAGACCAAGATCTCAGAGCTCCCAAACTCTACCTACCTGCCCAATCCATCAGTCTCAGATATAGAATTACAGCATCGACAATGAAAACAGTGATGCAATACTTAAAAAAGGCCACAAAATTTTTCCACATGATCGTCCAAATCGTTGCCTATGTCTACTGTCGGGTATCTAGGAAAAGCACACCCAGAAGCCGCCGACGCTTGACTGAGCCAACAAAGGCTTCGTTGACTGATTCTTCGCTGTCCTAATCTTGAGCGAGTCTAGTAACAACTTCCTCTACTACCTTCTCTCCCCCGGGACCGACAACATCTCCAAACCCTGTAAGTCAAATCTAAACTGACCATAATATCTAAAAGTTACTGAAACAATATAGCCCGGTTGTCTAGTATATTTCGTGGCCAAGGAGCCTTCTCGCATTACGGTCTTAACTCGAAAAATGGGCACAGTGGAAGAGTTCCATTTGTTATCAACACCCTCCTTCTTGGTAAGTGATACATCTAAAATGATTGGAAATGAGCGGAGCTAATTTTGCTCTTCACATCTTTCCTTTTGGTCAATTTGGCTTAGCGAATCGTGCAATCTGCGAAATGCAATTTATCAACGACCGGGGTTTGTAATCTGCGCAAAACCGAACCAGAATAATCTTGAATACAATCAACACGACAGAAGCCATCGCAAAGAGGGCAATGATTCAACAAATGCTCCATATGCATTTGGAACCACCCCATTGCAGGGCAAGGAGCAAGAAAACTGATTTGGCTTTGGAGTGATTAGGGTTCCTCTTAGTCACTGGTAGTCCGAGAATCGTTGACTAGCAGTGGTATAGGTTATTCAGCTTGTCCACAGAGTATCTGGAGGATATGATGCACAGGTTGCATTGATGGGATTGCCGCTTGTGGGACCCAAAAGTGACCTTCATGGCTGGAGAGGAAGCACACATGCACTCAAACTTGGAAAGTGAATGAGTTGGCCGTGAGCCTGGCCTTCTTGGCTACAAATTTTCTACATAATCTCAAATTGAAGCAAGATATGACAATGGGATTCAACATTTGAATTGAAGTTTCCAATGGATCCTCCAGATCCGCAAGGCCTGAATGCTGGGCCACGCCAAGACATCAGTCACGTTCACTCATTAAGAAAGAACTTCTAAGCACATCGAGATATGTACTGGGACAGCCCCGTAACCGCCGGTAATTGCGATAAGCAGGCTCATAATAGATATATCTTTGTAGCTACATAGCCCTGGAAAGAAACAAGGCATGATGCAATCATGAAGACAGCAAACCAGATGAATACGGTAGGCGGTATGATTCTGCCGAAGCGGAAGTTGTTATGCACTTGACAAGTAGCTCTGTCGCCCTTCCGGGCATATGGTCAACTGAAAATATACAGAGAAGATTAGCATGGCCCCTGCACTAAGGATGACACGCTTAATCAAAGAGAAGCTCCCGGTTCTTTTCTCTTCCACCTTTTATATTGAAGTTATGCGGCGGAGGTCTATTTGCAACGATATGATTGGCCCTACTCTGTTGGCGGTCACGTGCCAGGCCCCATAGTCCCTTGTCGCAGGTGCGAAACCGACCAACGGCGATTGCAGAATTTTTTCTTCCTATCCCATATTGCCAAACTGGACATTACTTCAAGTGTGGAAGTAGTCTCTCCAGTTAGACATGGACAAACACAAAATACAACATACAGCTCTCCACACAGTAATGCAGTTCATGGCTTGGGAAGTCCATGGACTACCCACAGCCGGACCCACTCTTCCCCATGGAATTTCCTTCAGGCAACGGCAGATCTTCCACCAGACTGTTGGATACAGGTAGATTGAAAGTTGATAAATCACATGATGCAGGTCACCTAAGTTTAAGAGAGCTCACTTTCTTGTCATCTCTCTATGCTCTCCTCGGAAAAGGACAGAACTCGATTCTGACACATTCCAAAGGCTTTGCTGAGGGGAACGCGCCGCGGGAATCTCCATCAATCCCAGACACATTGACAAGCAAGATGGAAAGTGGAGACGAGCGACCCTACCGGTCTCACACAAAGCCAGCATGCATACCGTGCCGACGAAGGAAATCGCGATGCAAAATGGAGCCCCATATCGCGGCGTGTCTGATGTGTCGTGCGCACGGCACACATTGTACATTTCCCAACGCGAGACCAAAGGCAACACCCCAAAAGAGGTACTCTACGGAGACAGGCCTAAGATTGCCACACCCAAATTTACGATCGCCAATCACAGGGATCCAGTCATATAGCCGACCGCCCGTCGTAGCCACTTCCCCGCAGTTCTCAGTTGTCGCACAGGCCCAGAAGGACCAGGATACACCGCTGTCTCTTGAAGCCGATGATGATAATCCCCATATCCTCGGTCCGGCAGTGACGGGGGATAATCATGTCTTGGCGGACTATCTGTCTAACATTTCGGGTGGCCAGGGAATTCGTGAAATACGTCCCGTCGAGCCGGGTAGTTCCTCGTCGCCGGTCATATTCACGAAAGTGCAGAAAAGGCCGCTGGGGCTCATGGTCAACTCCAGTCCGGCATTGCATAAGCTACAGACTATTGAAAAGCTTGTAGAGCCATGGGGACCACATCTGATCGACATGTGGGTTACCCTAAATTTTAGAGTGGTATTCTGAAGAAGATTTGGAAACTAAATATTGCAACTAGCTATCTGAAAAAGATCAACCCTTGCCTCCCACTACTTGAAGAAAGCTCCTTTCGAGCACAATACACAAATGCCAGGCATCGCATTTCTCCTGCACTTTTGGCATGCCTGTATGCCCACGTGCTTACCCAATGGCAACATGATCCCCTTCTATCACATGAAAGGTGCCCAGATGTTCGTTTTGTCTGGAATCTTGCTATTGAAGCCTCGTGTTCCGAGCTGCACGCCTCAGCCGGAATATCCACAATAAAGGCCATTCTCCTGGACGTTGGGGGCCGTCCAACTACATCTATGACCGGCAACGGGGTAAGACTTGGTTCGGCTATTGCATTGTGCCATTCCCTAGGCCTGAATCGAAACCCACTTCCGTGGGATATCCCACGGGAAGAGAAGCACCTAAGAATGAAGATTTGGTGGTCCATTTTACTCCATGATCGCTGGTATGTTTTCAAGAGCGAACTTCTCAAGTAGTGGGGGTATCGTAGGAACTCACCATCGAACAGGTCAAGCCTTGCTTATGGGACTCCTCCCCATATCAGAAGATCACAATATGACGTACCGCTACCAATCCCCGAGTACCTGTCAGATTGGGAACGAGATCACGAAGCAAACGCAGTGTTCATTGAGCTCATGAATTTGACTAACGTGTTAGACCACTGTCTTGAGCAAGTGTATAGCATCCGAATCGAGACCCAAGGACCAACCAGGAATCTGGAACTCGAGCTGAACAAATGGGTGGACTCGCTCACAGGAGACATTCGAAAAATCATCATCCGCGGCTCAAACTTAAATATCCCTGGTGCTTCCAACCTGCGTCTGGCATATCTGGCGACGAGACTCCTCCTCCGGCGCATCGAGCTAGATCGCGAGCGGCAAGCACCACACTCAAATGTAGAGCACATGGCCAACCGAGTTATGGAGGCGCGTAGGACTGCGGAGGACATAGTGATTCTGGTCCAGGAACTCGGAGAAGCACAGTTGGGCGACTACTGGCTACCTGTCGTCGCATTCACATTTTCGGCAACGGTCACGTTTCTGATTCGGTGTGCACTAGAGACAGAGCAGGTAGCCGGTCTTGCACAGAGTGGTTCTCTGCGATTGGCTAGTGACCTTTTGGATTCGTTGCGATTGCACCGTAAGAACTTTGGGTGGGATCTGGGTGATATTTGCCTCGCGCAACACTCCGATATCATTGACAAGTTGTTGAAATCAGAGCCACCTGCGGAGAACACAGGAGAGACGAATGTGGAACTACGTCAGCCTTTCGTGCCGGAAATGGCTTTTGTTGATGATATGTTTCCGAGTACTTGGGACATTCTACAAATTATGGAGTGAAAGAAAGTACTCATGGACGTACTTTGCAACGCTTTGGTCACGACCCACATACTTTGCATGTGGAGCAATTTTAAGGCAAGTATAGACACGGGCGCACGGATAAAAATGACCATGTAACTTGTTTCATTTGTGCATAACTGGCTATGTTGGACATAACACCAAATTGTATCATGGGCGCGTGGGTTGAAAATTCCAACATTTTGCAAATAGCTAGCCTGGTGAACCGAATAGGGTCTTATTGCCGTGGACGCATACTTTACCAGAGGAGACTGGCACCAAAATTTTACCCCAATGGTGCATTTAAAGACTCTATCAACGGCTCGACTAAAGGTTCAACTCCATGTGGAGCACTGTAGTTCCTACTAGATCTCAGCCTCAAGTGCAACGGCCTGGGAACCTCCTACCACCCTGATAGTCTGAATATCCGGTCTAGTCGGACTTTCTTGTCCAGGAAATGGTCGACTATCTAAACAAGACCAAAGTCTCAGGCTTTTATCAGGCCAGGATAGCACATTATAGGCTTTAGCACCGAGGCATATCATGACATAAGCCTCTCGGGCTTCTGGCGCTCGTTGGAACCAGTTCCTTGGCCAAGGTATAAAGTTTCCTATGGAAGGCTGTCTCACTGAATATAGCAATGGTAATGTTTCATGGTTCCGGTCACTAGCTATCTGATCACGTATATAGACATCTCCGCGAAAGAATCGCGCAGCTAGAATCAAATTTAGCAGTAGAGAAGGTGATCGTATTATCTTTAGATTAAAGGGGCATCAAAATAGCATAGTAGTGGAACGTATCAAGGTAGTTGACGTGTCGATTAACATCTTCATATCAACGTAGTCCACACAGCCACAGAGCTGAGCTTCACAACCTCGCCTCTAGAGTTTGAGGAATTAGCCGAAAACAAATTCACAACACAATAGCTTGATCTAAACGCCCCCTACCGACTCGCTCGATCTACTGAAGATACAGAGAGGTTGCTCTTCGAGAACGAACCTTAAATTCTTATTCTTTGATCGTCAAATCACCCTTAGATGGTCCTCCGAGGGTGCCTGAAAGGTGGGCAACATGCAGGAACCATGTGAAAAGATGCTTGTACGATGGTGCGAGCCTTTCACCGCCTGATACAGTTACGAAGCTGTCAGCGAGACGTACGTCGAGACCCCCAAGATGGACGCAAGTAGGGTTCCTGTTGATAGCAGCATTGTCTCCTTCGAGGTCAAAGACAAATTTCCCAGTGCCGGAGGTCACGAAAACAAATTATGTGATACCCGCGAGCAAAATGTTGTCGAGACGGCACACATGTTACCATCAGCTCTCCCTCCACATGAGCTTGCACTGGCTACTGGTTTTCGCAATGCGATATTACATGTCGGGCCCAAGTTGCGCAACTCGAGCTACCACTGCTCCAAGATGTGGCATGACGCGGATGGACTCGTCGACCTGCAGCTCAAAGTGTAGACAGCCACAACAACACAACCCAAGAACGTCTTCCGGCTCGAAAGACATTCCCGCTCACCCGGCTGGCAAGAAGTTGAAGCTACTGCACGTACAAACAGCGTATCTTGCTACAGCATCTCCCTTTTTGGACACCTTGGCCGACAAAGAGTGCATCGTGTCCTTGTCTAACCCTTTCCTTAGCGGGCCACAATACAACATTAACAGCTGCTGTTTGTCTTGACTCAGAAGGGAGGTGTCTATTGGTTTGGTGATATTTGCGTAGTAGCGTTGCGATCGGATCCGCAAATCGCCAGCCAAGAAGCACACCTTGGTGCCCACGCCGTGGAAGGTGTCAGTACCCTGGAGGACGGTGAGAAAATTCTTGATTCTAGTATAGGACAAGTGTGTGGCAATTTTGTTGTCTTCGTCCTGGCTATTTCGCGCAAGAGCCGCAAGGAAGCGATGCGCACTGGTCGAATGATCAAGGGTCAGGTTAAGGAGCACACGGATGGTTTCCCAGGCTTTTTTTTTCCGAAGGGCTGGAAAGGGCATCAAGATTACAATCGACAGGCTGTACCATGTAGTTACCTTTTACGACAGGCATGGAGTAGCATGAGGGCTTCAACAGCTCTGAAAGGTCATATGAGTTGGAATGGAATTTATGCAAAATGCATGCAGATAAAGATCCACATACTTTTGAATAAAGTATCCAAGAATTTATCGAATTTTTGAAATCCAATTCAAGTCCTCTTGATTGCCGATTGTATTCACTGCCTCTACAACATTTGTAATGTGAAATGTGGATATCCCATAGACGTTCTTGATTCGTTGGCTACATCGATGGAACACAACTAGAACCACGGGTCAATGAGTACTCACCCATGGATTAGTTTTGCTATAACCCGGTTTTACTGTAGTTCACAGCAGAACAACGGCTTTTCAATTTTTTTCCTTGGAGTTGAGACGTGAGTTGTGACACGCGAGGATGCCTGTTGACGGCGGCTCCGCGGCCAAAATAACGAAGAGACGAACGTCTTCAAGCGACCCCTCGGTAAGGCTCATTACTGGAGAGGACAAAGAAATCAGACCAATGATGATAATAAGGAGATCGTGGCTCAGTTCGAAAGAGAATATAAGTCCTCGGACGCAATCATCCTATTCAGGCATTGGTCCAGGCCGACCAAAAGGCCCCGTACAATCGGGCAGTGGTGCCGTTTGGGTGCTAGCATCTACATTGTTAGAACGGCACCGGACTGCATCTCCCTTGCGGTCAAGTCGCTGAAAGAACTCCTCTGCGAGGTAATTGCCACTCCTCCAAGCCGTTACGAATCCCTTCCAGCAACCTCTAGTATTGTTCCGGATGCACTTGTTGAGAACCCCGACTTCCGGTCTGCTGGTTAACACTTGGCTATTCCATCTACTAAGGATATTTTGGATTGATCCCATTCTATTGTCAGCTACCTCTATACAGCATGAGGGATGAGTGAATATATCATGAACTCGACTTTACAAGGTAGATGTGATGATGATGATGACGATGAATTCATTGACCCGATTTAGCTCGCTATTACATTTTTACAAGGTAGATCATACTAGGATACTCGGCCGCCTATGAGGCCTCGTGACGTCTTCTTAGGTATTTTTAGAGGTCGTTTCCATTTTTTTTTTTTCAAAAGAGATTTTCTCCCTTGAGATAGGAAAAAGGCTTAAGATTTTAAGACACCTGTAGTGCTCCGTATATTAAATTAGTGACAATCATGGATTGAGGAATTGAGTTGAAAAATTGAGCGACCAATGATGGTTGACTGGATGGATTTGCCACAATCCCTTGAACGATAGTCTCTGATGGACCGAAGGTCGTAAAATTGTACAATTTTGCCGAGGTGGCTGATCAGGTCGAGACTAGGTAATGGAGTCTGTAGATCATTAATTGCAGCTGACGAAGTTCGTCCTAACACCTCCACTTTCTAATATCATTCTGAATCAGTCTGACATGACTGTAAAAGATGTACGGAGTACTCCGTACTCCGTGCAAAGCATTGATTAGTATCGGTCCCTGTTTCGTCATTTGGATGTTTCCCTCTTCCCATGGAAATGTCACTTTTACGGGGCTGTGCTCCACATTTTTAGGTACACACCTATATCGTGGCTGGCTACTGGTTACAATATAAAATTGCGATCATCTGGCTGGTAGCCTATCACAACATCTCTAAGACCCACTGTGAAAGGGAACAGTGTTGGAGATAAAACCAGAAGGACCTGGATTGGGGACTTTGGTGCATGACCATGCTGTCATCAGCCATAGCATCACAGACATGATGTGTTGTCTATAATACCAAAGTAGACATTGATGGGTGCCGATTAGAGGTGGAGTAGGGACGATAGTCCGGAGTAGACCCGGTGAAAAATCTGACGGTCGTGAATAATTCAGGATGAGAAACATGGAAATCCAACGGTGATTTGAAAAAGACCAGGTGGAGCACCAGGAACCAAAATGTGATTTGTAGAAGTCCAATAGTGGCCCACTCGTCTAACGCAGAGGCTTGAGAATGTGCTTATCTGGGATCAGGCGTGTAAAAATTCAGAATCAAGCTCAGTGCAAGGTTCTCAAAGGGTTTGCTCCACAGGATCAAGTCTGTGAACCACGATGGACTTTCTATATATGGGATCGACCCATCCACTCAACCATCCGCATTGCACACTCTCGCAATGCGACCTGGACTGTCGGTTACCCAGATCGTTGGCGCAAGCCTAGTCGCAACCCAATTTGCGAGCGCATTATTACCTCGCACAAAAATCAACGATGCGTATGACTTTGTGATTGTTGGAGGAGGTCAAGCCGGACTCGTGTTAGGTGCCCGTCTTTCAGAGAATAAGAACCACACTGTACTCGTTCTTGAGTCAGGTGGCAATGGAGACGAATTTCGCAAGCGAATAGGTGCGTTCATTTGCTAGATCCTGGAATCATGAAATCTCTCTAATACTCGTACAGATACGCCGGCGTTTTCTTATTTCGATTCTTTATGGACAACGCCTTTGAATTGGGATTTCTATACTGTTGCCCAACCTAATGCTGACGGCCGCGAGATTAATTGGCCTCGTGGCAAGGTCCTTGGAGGTGCGTACAAGCTTCACATTCTTAAGACAAGCAACCGAATATTGATACAGTGAGATAGGTAGTTCCGCCATCAATGGGCTGTATATGACCCGCCCGGGCCAAGAGGAAATCAATGCCTGGAAAGACATGCTCGGAGATATGTATGGTGCCGACAACTGGTCGTGGGACTCGTTCTACGCCGCTATGAAGAAAAGCGAGACCTTCACTCCTCCAACCGATCAAGATCTCATTGAAGAGGCTGGGCTCGTCTGGAATGCATCATCTCATGGCACCGACGGGCCAATCCATACAACATTCCCAGACTTGTATGCCGAGTCCCGATTTTTAGAATTGACTGAGAAGGCTAACGCATTCCTAGCACATTTCCCGAAGTGGGCAACTGGTTAAAGGCACTACAGAGCACGGGCATTCCCACTTCTGCCAACATGTACGGAGGTGAGAACTTGGGTGCTGACGTCTCAACCTCCTGCATCAACCCTTCAAATTGGACACGGTCATACAGTCGTTCCGGTTATCTCGATCCGCTTGCAGACCGGGGCAACTACGATGTATTGGCGAATGCGCATGTGACTCGGCTTGTTTTCGACAATTCGACATCTTCCGGCAAGAAAACAGCAAGTGCTGTGGAATATACAACTGATGGCGGATCAACGAAATTGAACGTCAAGGTCATTAAGGAAGTCATCCTTGCGGGTGGTACTATTGGCAGCCCAGCTGTATTGCTTTACAGTGGTATCGGCCCCAAGGACGTCCTCTCCAAGGCCGGTGTTGATCTTATATCTGAACTTCCTGGTGTCGGTCAACATCTTCAAGACCATTTTGTCAGTACGCTTCCTATTCATAAGATGAGGGTATAACTGAAGTAATTGCGCAGAGTGCCACAGTGAAATGGAGCTCGAATGTGGACACCGCAGGTTCGATCTTCTACATCAACGGCAATGATAAGGTGCGTGCTCTGTGTATTCATCGAACAAGGCCGTATGCTAATTCCCGCAGAACAATACTAAATTCCTCACTTACATCGATTCCGCCGTTGCCTACGTGAATTCCACCGCTATGTACGGCAGTCAAGTGAATGAGTACGACTCGAAATTCCTCGCGTCAATCGATCAGTATGCACCGAACACGACTTATGACGATGGCGTGATCACCGGCTACAAAGCAATCTGTAACACAACATCGAAGATCTTTAACGGCTCGACTGGTCAAATCGAGCTGCTGTTCATGAACAGCGATGCAAACGGCGATATCGGCATCACAGCTGCCCTCCAACACCCATTTAGTCACGGCCGAATCTACATCAACTCCTCCAACCCAATGGACTTCCCTGTCATTGACCCGAACTACCTGGACAATCCAGCTGGTATGGACCCCCTCTAACTAACATCCAATCAAATCTTCTCCAATCACTGACAACAACTTAAGACTCCGAGATCCTTCTCGCAGGGATCAAACTTGCCCGCCAAATAGGCGAAACCAGCCCAATGAGCAAAAGCCTCACAAACGAAACATCTCCGGGCTTGAGCGTCCAAAGCGATGATGACTGGGTAGCATGGCTACGCAAGGAAGCTAGCACAGAGTTCCATCCGTCCTCGTCATGTGCAATGCTGCCCGAGAAGCAGGGCGGCGTGGTCGATGCCAATCTGCTCGTATATGGCCTTGCCAATGTGCGCGTTGCAGATGCTAGCGTCATTCCCATTGCCTTGTCCACCCACTTGATGTCATCGACATACGGTGTGGCTGAGCAAGCGAGCAAGATCATTCGAGAATTTTACAACCCGCCATCGAAGCCCGAGCCGGCCTTCGGTAAATCGACTCCCACATCTTCCAGCACCGCGACTACTGCGAAGAAGAGTGGTACACTAAAGACCAGTCCCACTGGAAATGGCGGCCCTGCCTTGTTGCCCGTGTGGACTTCTCTTGCTCTTGTCGCTGCACATGTGATTGCTAGCTACGGCCTCTATATCTAGGCTGGCGTTTGCATTCGGTGGTAATGGTAATGATAATCCATGCTGGCTGAAACCCGGCATTAGAATATATGATACATCAATGTCTGCGATGTGTTAGAAGGGAATCTTGGTCGAAGGGGAACCGGAGCTGTTTCTTGTAATGATAGATACCTGCCTCGCCAGAGTGCCTGACATAGTCCAAATCAATGTGAACATAGACATCTGACTAGCACAGGCCGAAGATAAAAAGGGTTTCCACGCATCGCCATGTCAAAGAATTCAAATCTTGGACTTTGGATTCACCGCCACAAAGGCCCCATCTTTCCTGATCTCAAAATCCCGACCTGGTTGCCATCCCACCCACTCCCCAAGTGTATCGGCACCCCCATCCCCAGGCAGAAGCCCGCCACCCGACCACCCACCCCGATCCGCCAGTATCGGTGCCGCGGGCGTACTGACCAGATGCACACTAGGCCGTTGCTCATACCCATCCTCCTCTAGCTCCGCCTGTTCCAAAACAGGCGTAGCACAAGCATCCGTGCGATCAAAAACAGCCTCCCACTCCACACGTGTCTTCTCCTTAAACCTTCTGATAAAGATCTCCCTTAACGCCGGCCACTGCTTCCGATCCTCCCTATTTGGAAGATCCGCGATTTCAAACCCCAACCCGCGAACCAGCGCCGCATAAAACCGTGGCTCCAAAGCCCCGACAGCAAAGTACTGCCCAGTATCCTTGGTCTCATACGTATCATAGTACGGACAGCCACCGTCCAGCAGATTCTCACCCCGCGGCGCCGCCCCCGCGGGTGTATTCCGCCCAAGCCGCAGGAACGTAGCAAGATACGCCGAGCCGTCGACCATGTTAGCTTCGACAACCTGACCGCGGCCGGTATGAGAGCGAGAGATAAGCGCTAACAAGATTCCCTGGAAACACACAGCGCCGCCACCGGCGAAATCCCCGATGATGTTGGCTGGTGCGTGGGGCTTCTCTGAGGCGCGGCCTAACATCGACAGCACCCCTGAAACAGCGATGTAATTTATGTCATGGCCGGCCATATCTTTGTATTTCCCGTCGCGGCGGAAGCCGGTCATGCGGGCGACGATTAGGCGCGGGTTGTGCTTCAGGAGGACATCTGTTGGGGAGAGGCCGAGGCGTTCGAGAACGCCTGGGCGGAAGGGATCAATAAGGATGTCAGCTGTTGGGAGGAGGCGGAAGAGGATGTTGACAGAGGCTTGGTCGTGTAGGTCGAGGATTATGGAGGTTTTGTTGCGGGTTAGTTGGTCGCCGCTTATGGATTTAGGTCGGTCTATGCGGAGGACCGAGGCGCCGTAGTCGGCTAGTAGGAGGCCTGCGAATGGGCCTAGGGTGGCTGTTAGTTGTGTAATGCATATTGGGTTGATTGCGTACCCGGAGCTAGGCCTGCGAGCTCAATGACTTTGATTCCCTTCAATGGGGACATTTCGTTTTTGGCGTTGATGGAGCGGGGAAGTTCAAAAGTGACATTGCCGTTTAAATACTCCTTTTGAGGCCATCCCGCAATTGATGCCTGAGTTCCTGGTGGTAGCCACATCAGCGACCTATGAATCTTCCTGATATTCCCTAATCAAGGGCTTCTCGCTCAGCAGTTTGACCCATCCGCTATCGACGCGGTTGAGCACTTTTAATTAAAACTTCACTTTGCATACAGCGTGTAGGTATGATTCTATAGATCTCTCGATCTTAGGATGGCTTACGTTCTTGAAGCTATTCCCACTATACTAATCTTTACATTCACTATCTGGGAGATGGTGCAGAGTGGGAGGAAGATAGTCTTTGTGGTTGATATTCAGGCAAACGTGAGGGTTGGGCAAAACACAAGTTATATTAGCTTGCTGATGCCCGTTCTTTTAAAGAGGTATCTTCGCCCTTCACAGTTTCTCACATAGAAGACGGACTTGTCTATTTCCATGTCATCTTTCATGTTTGGCGCACAAGGCAAAAGTTCTACCTTCTATAACGTCGAAAGAACCCCATGAAGAGTAAGGTTTTAAGATAGGAACCAGTTCGACAAAGGCATCGTTCGTGCTGATGCATAGCAGTGAACCCGCGGGCTTAAGTGACCTTGGAACAGAGCCATCATCCTGTTTAGACATCACAGATGTAGACTCGAAAGCCGGGGCAAGACCCAGGATTTGACCAAGGGAAAATCTCTCTTCGCTCTCTCCCGGTGGGTTTACAATTTGCTCTGCTACTCTCCGGGTTTGGCTGTTCAGAGAAAAGGAGCACAGTCTCCGGTAGCTCTACAGAGTGCTCCGTCATGCAGGTCCCGCTTGTAGATCAAATCAGTTGATTAAAATTGATATCCACCTGGTGTATCTCTGGGCTGGAGACAATCATTCTTCCCTCGTCGAACTCTTCACAACTGTTACCGACAACAACTTCAAAATCGCAAACACTGCACTAGACCCCGAGAATCCCGCAAAAGACCTGTTCACATGGGTTTGGGCGATGAAGAACGATCTAAGCTTCATCTCGAGGAGATGCTCGATCAATTCCCCAAGGAGTTTTCAAACTACCTCCGCAAGTCCTCCGGGGGCGCTGAGGCCCAATTCGAAAAGGGTCTGGTGTTACACGTCTAAATCCCCAATAGAAAGCCAACCCGAAGCCTAAAAGTTGATTAATGTAGCGTTGAAGAAGACGAAAGTCTCGACAGTAACGACCAAGACGGCTTCCCGTTCACAGGGCGAGCCCCGAGTACCGAAAGACAGCTACCGTGGCAATCTCATCGGTCGGAGGGCTCATGGTACTTGTGCGATTAATGCTTAGTGGGGTCAAAGATCACAGGCACTATTTCAGTAGATACCACTGACGTAAATGTCCCCAACTTGACTTCCCAGTAAGTCCAACCGAGTAGCTGCCATATAAATGGACTTGATTGACTGACTTCTTCGTAGATCATGGTTATTTCCTTCCTCCCCGATGGTCAACTTCGAGTTTTGCATGGGTATTTCGACGACAGCCGACTCAAAGTGGCCTATACGCAAGCACTCAACTTCGAAACAGAGGGCTATGTCGAAACTCATGGATAATGTATTCTCTAACGGGCATGGTTCCTTGCTGATGGGGACACTGCGAAGCCCACCCCTCTTCCAACTGTCGAGGGCGATGAAGAGGATGAGTGCAGAGACTTGGGGAAGGAGGAGCTACAACACAGGGAGGACGGCGAAGATTGGTGTCTGCGTGGTCTAGGGAGTGAATTAGACAAGCCAGGTGACAGCACCAAGGCAGACCATGATCTCCGTAGCAGAGAGCCGGAATTCAACGAGGAGAATCGGATTGATAGAGAAGAGGAAGTTCTCATTGAGAAGTGGGAACGACAAGGACCTCGTGATGTCTGTACACCTTTGTGGCTTGCCAACGATCGAAAATGTCGACATCGCCATCTGTGATCGACAACACCGGTAGTGACTGCAACATCACTGAATGTTGTGGTAATTTCGCGGCTGGATGACGCCCTCAGTTGACTCTTATGAAGGCATATTCCAAAAGGCCCTCGGTGTATTTACCTTTTCTGTGGTGCCAATCTAACTCATACTCGTCCTTCACGTCTACAACACAAAAAAAAAACAATCTGATATGAGAGGTCGTCATATAGCTGTTCCCTCCATTGTAGAGCAGGTTTAATCTACTTTTTTCTGTTAGGTAAAATTTTACAACAATAGCTTTCCAGCGAAAACAGGATGAAGTGCATGTAAGCTGTGCACAATTTCCCCGATTTTGCCCAGGTGATTTCCACGGACCTGTGGAGTTGACATCTTCTATCATTTACTCTGCACAGACAGCACACAGTAATAATTACACGAGCATGATTACTTCAAGGATCTCTTAACATGAAGGAGAAAAAGAATACAGGAGCGGCCAAAAAGGAACAGCCCATAAAAACCCCATAGTCTAAAATAGCACATATACCTCAGATCCCCGTCTTCATAACCAGGACAACAAGACAAGCGATGCATCAAAATGGGCGACAATCTTAAACAAGGTCGCGCTTGACGAACTCAGCAAGAAGGGTCTTGCCGAGGGAGGCAGGGCTGCGCTCTACGATGACACCAGCATCGGTAAGAGCGGCGATCTTGGAATCAGCACCACCCTTACCACCGCTGACGATAGCACCGGCGTGACCCATACGACGGCCGGGGGGAGCGGAGATACCGGCAATGAAAGAGACGGCGGGCTTGTTGTAGATGTTGTTGGCCTTGAAGAACTCGGCGGCATCCTCCTCGGCGGAACCACCAATCTCACCGATCATGATGATACCGTCAGTCTCGGGGTCCTCGAGAAAGACCTTGAGACAGTCAATGAAGTTGGTGCCGGAGAAGGGGTCACCGCCGATACCGACGACGAGAGACTGACCAAGACCAGCGAGGGTGGTCTGGTTGACGGCCTCGTAGGTCAGGGTACCGGAACGGGAGACGATACCGACACGGCCGCGCTTGTGGATGAAGCCGGGCATGATACCGATCTTGCATTGACCCTATTGAACGAGATGTGTGAGGATTTGCTGGAACTCGAATTATTGCAGAAAGTTGGAGTGGTGACTTACGGGGGCGATGATGCCAGGGCAGTTAGGACCGATCAGGCGGGTCTTGTTCTGGGTCTTAAGAATGTCGGTGATGCGGACCATGTCTAAGTGAAATCAATCAGTTCGCGCGCGCGTAAACAGGTGGTCAATCGATCCGTACCGTGCTGAGGGATACCCTCAGTGATGCTGTTAAAACGAGAAGCTGTCAGAAAAAGTTATTTGCAAGGGGGAGTTCAACTGAACACGCACCAAACAACAAGGCCAATCTCAGCAGCGATGGCCTCCTCGATACCGGCAGCGGCAAGAGGGGGACTAATTGCAGTTAGCGTTGCTTTGCTGGCATTTCGAGAGAGATGTTGGTTGATCATACGGAACGAAGATGGCGGAAGCTGTAGCTCCAGTCTCCTTCACGGCTTCGCTAACGTTGGCGAAAACGGGACGGTCAAGGTGCATGGTGCCGGCCTTCTTGGGGTTGGTACCACCGACGACATTTGTGCCTGTCCTGTGTAAGCTGTTGTTGGGATGCGATCGCGGCTGGACAATTATTTACCGTAGGCGATGGCCTGCTCAGCGTGGAAGCTGTGTCAAGGTCAAGTATCAGCATCATGCGCGTGCGATAATGAAAGCGCGTGGAATGCACTTACGTTCCCTGCTTTCCAGTGAAACCCTGGAACAGAACGCGGGTGTCCTTGTTGATCTTGAGGTTGTTCAAAGTCTCGCTGTAGGCAGAGGTGGCCTGAGTCCGACGTTGGGTGGCACCGACATTGCGAAGGGCCGAGAGAGTGTTACGGCGGAAGGCCTGCATTGCTGCAAGATTATTTGTAAGAGTGGAGAGGTGAGGTATACGAAGTGAGGTGGAAAGAAAGAAATGGACAGGATAAAACGCAGGTGTTCGGGATACGCACCCGGGAGTTTTCGCTCGGGAGAATTATTTTACTTAAGCGGAACTGCCTTCGGGCGCAGGCCTCGGCGACCACATTTTTCGATCTAATCAACCTCACCCCCACTAAGTACAACAACTTGTCACTTTTGCTTATTGAAAGTCTCTCCGCCTAGGCGCGGTGCTATTCTCTTCGCCATGGCTACCATGACTATGACCTCGCAGGAAATTAAAAGGGCCGCCAAGAAGAACGCAAAGAACGTACCAGAGAACGAGCGATTCATGCGAGCATGCTCTGACATTGCAAATGCTCTCATTCAAGATTACGAGTCGCATAGAGACTCTACCAAGACCAAGAAGGATATCAATCTCAACAAGTTGCGGGCTACTTTTTCGAAGAAGCACAGCTTGTCCAGCTCCCCGCCACTGACGGCCATTATCGCGGCAGTACCTGAGCACTACAAAAAATATATCCTGCCAAAGCTAATTGCGAAGCCGATTCGTACGTTTACATATTGCAAGTGGGAGTGCTGGGGGTATTGCTAACCTCGTTGATAGGAACCTCATCTGGCATCGCCGTGGTGGCGGTTATGTGCAAACCACATCGATGCCCCCACATCGCGTATACCGGTAACATATGTGTCTACTGCCCTGGTGGCCCAGACTCCGACTTCGAATACTCGACTCAGTCATATACTGGATATGAACCAACTTCGATGCGAGCCATCCGCGCTCGCTACGATCCCTTTGAGCAGGCGCGAGGACGTGTGGACCAAATCAAAGCTCTTGGTCACAGCGTGGACAAGGTGGAATACATAATCATGGGTGGAACCTTCATGTCGCTACCAGAAGATTACAGGGACACTTTCATCTCCCAGCTTCACAACGCGCTGAGCGGGTATCAAACGGACAATGTTGACGAGGCTGTGCTGGCAGGCGAAATGAGCAACGTGAAGTGTGTGGGCATCACAATCGAAACTCGGCCAGATTACTGTCTGGACACACATCTGAGCAGCATGCTCCGCTACGGATGCACGCGGTTGGAAATTGGTGTGCAAAGTCTGTACGAGGACGTTGCGCGAGACACCAACCGCGGCCACACAGTAGCAGCAGTAGCTGAGACGTTCAAGCTTGCCAAGGATGCCGGCTTCAAGGTTGTCAGCCACATGATGCCTGATCTTCCAAACGTTGGAATGGAACGCGATCTGTTCCAGTTCCAAGAGTACTTCGAGAACCCCAACTTCCGTACCGACGGTCTTAAACTCTACCCTACGCTTGTCATCCGAGGCACCGGACTCTACGAGCTGTGGCGCACTGGCCGTTACAAGAACTATACACCTAACGCACTTATCGACCTTGTCGCTCGCATTCTCGCCCTAGTTCCCCCGTGGACCCGTATCTACAGAGTCCAGCGCGATATCCCCATGCCACTTGTTACCTCCGGCGTGGAGAACGGTAACCTGCGCGAACTGGCATTGGCGCGTATGAAGGACTTCGGCACGACCTGCCGTGATGTTCGCACGCGAGAAGTCGGTATCAACGAAGTCAAGAACAAGATCCGTCCATCGCAGATTGAATTGATCCGCCGTGACTACGCTGCCAATGGCGGATGGGAGACTTTCCTAGCATATGAAGACCCGAAGCAGGATATTCTCATTGGATTGCTTCGTCTACGGAAGTGCAGTGAGACTCACACCTTCCGACCTGAGTTCACCGGCCAGCAGACGAGTATCGTCCGCGAGCTTCACGTCTATGGTTCTGCCGTGCCACTTCACGGACGGGATGCACGCAAGTTCCAGCACCGTGGCTTTGGAACTTTGTTGATGGAGGAGGCGGAGCGTATTGCCCGCGAGGAGCACGGTAGTCGCAAGATCAGTGTGATCTCCGGTGTGGGTGTGCGTAGCTATTATGCTCGTCTTGGGTACTTCCTTGATGGTCCTTACATGTCCAAGATGTTGGACCCATGGGAGGACGAGGAGTAAATACTGGAAGACCGCAAAGCGAGAAAGAAAAACAAAAAGGAAATCAAATGCCCAGCTAATGCTTGGTAGCTGGTTTTGCATCCACTGGCGTTGGCGGTCTCACAAAAACTTGATTTTCTTCTCAACGAAGGGCCAATGATTGAATGTCTATACCAAATTTATCTTTAGAAGTGTCCAATGGACCCAAAAAAATTGAGATCACATAGAGCTGGAGATTATTCAAGAGCGCTCTATGTACAAGTCGCAGGTCGGCTATCTGTTCATTCTAGCAAAGGAGACCGGGAAACCTGCCCGCCAGACCTTGCAAGTCTAATCCGATCTTACTCGTCTATAGCATAGACGAATCCAGGTCGCACAGAGTAGACATGGGTGATTCATACTTGAGAGAATTGAAAGTATTCTCTCGGTCTCGAACCACTCCCAACGCATCAAATTTAAAACCACCATGTTGTACTTAGAAAACCCCGAGTTATAAGCCCAAAAGATTGAAAATCAACAGATACTGGTGTCATAAAGATATCGAAAGAAGAAGGGATCAAGGTAATTTCAATGCAGTGATATAGCACCTCCCCTACTGTCTCGAATGTGAAGGTAAGCCTGGAAACCGCAGAAAACGAAAAAGCCCTGTGAGCCAGAAATGCGCATTGTTAGTAACCTAGTTCTCTACTCACGCAACGAGCGAACCCGTCGGGGTTTAGGGATGGTGAATGACGTACAGCGTAGACGATCACAGCAGTGTAAATGGAGGCGGCGACTGCAGGGCCATCTTCAGGTTCACCTTCTGATCCTGTGTATGCGTGGTTGTTACTCTATCATTAGGATATTCGCGTTAGCGGCTGAGCGCCATATTACGTAGGTCTGTGACAGTAGATCTTTGGGGACCTTAATTTGATGGTGGGGAAGAATCGGAAGGACGTACGCTGTATAGCGAGCCTAAGACTGAGAGAATGATGATTGCGAAGGCGGAGATAACAACACTATCCACGAAACAAGATGTTAGAGCAATAGACTTTTCGATGGATCTCTGGGATGGGGGAGCGTACCAAGACCAGGCGTTCAAAGCAGATACGACGGGCTTCATGCTGGCGTTTTGATGAAGGGTATTGTGTGTTGCAGAATGAGCGAGATAGTTGATTTGTCGGAGAAAGTTGGTCGCAAATTGGCTAATACAGAGAGTTGAGGTTGAAGACTTGAGATACGGAGGCGGGCGGACCTTCAGTTGTTGCAAGGCCCTAGGCCGCTTTGGGACAAGTCCAGACGCACCTGTGACTCGTCTTTTCCTTGCTATTTGATTTTCACATCTTTGATGAAAAAGTAAAGAATGTGAAAATGCTTTTCAGCTGAAAAATATTCTGTGGAAATTTCTATTCTTTTGGGGTTCAGTACTTGTTTTAATGTGTTTTGTTCCATTCGATACACTCATCAAACGTCACTCCAGAGCCGCCAAAGATATCTAGCGCGCTGCCAATCGTCAAATCAACTCTTCCCTTGCTACTGGTGTGGACCTTTTCAAGATCTTGTAGATGGCGTGCACCTCCTGCGTAGGTCACGGGAATAGTACACCATTCAGCCAGTCTTGAAACAAGTTCCTCATCGACACCTTGTTGCAAGCCCTCTACGTCTGCAGCGTGGATGAGGAACTCAGCGCAATATGGTTCCAGCATTGAGATGGATTCTATACAGTGTCAGTGAGCCAAATGTTAACCTGGGTTCAGCCCTGGTAGGACATACCCTGATTGATCTCCATCTCTGTGATGGTTTGCCAGCGATCCATCGCAACGAACCAAGTATCGTCTTTTCTGCGGCAGCTTAGATCCAAGACCAGCTTTGACCTGTCGCCGCCCAAGGCAGAAAGGACAGACTCGAGCCGCTCGAGAGAGAACTTGCCCCCAGGGAAGAGAAATGAAGTGATGATCACCTGTTGCCCGTATTCCACATGATTAGCGTCATCGGACTCTTCTCATGACGCAGTGCAAGCAACTAAAAGCTTAAAGTAGAAGGAGAGATATCGCTGGGTTCTCGACCAAGCAAAAGGTCGAGTGAAGAGATATTAATCCGTTAGAAATCCGGGGGCTTACCTTGTCTGCACCTTGATCAATCCAGTATTGCGCATTCTTATCGGTGATACCACCTGCCACTTGCAGCCCACCCGGCCATGTCTTCAATGCCTCCTGGGTTGCCTCTTCATTCCCTGGTCCAAGCTTCACGACGTGCCCGCCGCGCAAACCGTGTTTCTGATACAATCTTGCATAGTGGCTGGCTGGGAACTTGGATACGTAGTTGGTCTTCAGGTCTGCAGCCACCTCGCTGAGCGTACCACCCACAATTTGCTTGACCTGCCCTGAATGCAGGTCAATGCATGGTCTGAACTTGGTCATTTTCTCTGGAGAGTTGGAGACTAAGTTAATAATGTGATGATCTGATCTGTGAATCGAGGGGCGTCTTTATCGCACGTGATCAAGAGCTTAATCCGAAAAACTTTTGGGGCCGATACGCGAATGACCGACTTTACAATCTAGTCGACGGCACATTCATCATGGTTGTAAAACGAAAGAGAGAAACCACGGTGGTTTCCAAGCCCAAGGCCGAGGAAGACAGCCCTCCTCCGGTGGACAATGCGCAGGACGTATTCCGCAGATTATTCGAAGCACAATTCGAACCACTCGATTTGCCAGCTCCTACCGCCAAAGCTACAAATTCCGACGAAGAAGGAAATAGCGACGACGATGACTCTAACCTTTCTGGGTCAGAAGGTGACTGGGATGGGATGTCCGACATCAGTGAAGAAAGCAACCAAGTCGAGGTGGTCGAACACACGGATGCTTACGCGGCACCAGAAGACAGAATGGACAAGAAGACTTGGAAAGCATTCAAGGTATGTGCTAGATCTCTACATGTCAATTTATTGAAAATCCATGCTAACACTCAGACCCACAGAGTGGAAAACTGCTGTCTGATTTGAATAAGCCGAGCACCGACTCAGAGCCTACATCCAAAAAGGAAGAAGAAGAGGACGCCCACGACTCTGCGAACCTCAAGCACGATCTTGCATTGCAAAGACTACTTAAGGAGTCACACCTCCTCGATTCCGCCGATGATCTTGCTCCCACTGGAAAGAACCGTTTGAAGGCTTTAGATCTGCGCATGCAATCTCTTGGAGCGAAAACTTCGCTCTATGCGCAAACTAAAATGCCCACTGCGCACCGACGAGGCATCAAAGCTAAGGCGGTATCAAAGGAAGACAGACGCCGCCAAGAGGCCAAGGAAAACGGCATCATTCTCGAAAAGCCTAACAAGGTGCAAAAATCTAGCAACAATGGGCGAAGAGAGCGCGGTGTTGGCGGTTCATCCGTGGGAAAGTTCTCAGGGGGCACATTGAACCTGAACAAAGACGACATTGATCGCGTCCAGGCATCCGGACGCCGTATGATGGGTGGGAGAGGAAGGGGCAAAACAAGAGGCGGCAGAGGCGGCAGAGGCGGCGGTGGTAGGGGTGGCAGAGGTGGCAGAGGCGACAAACGCTAAGATCACGGTATCTTAGAAAGGGTGTTCCCTAATTCTTAGGCTAAAATGCTTCCTCGTGTGACACTGCCTACCCACGCTACTTCAACACCAGAGCTAACTGGGTTCGTGGTTCATAAAAAGCGTCTCACGCTAAGTCAGCTCCAACCCTCGATCTCTCACGGCCTGTGGGCTACATCTTCAATCTCAACCCGCATGCCATCCTTGCCGAGCCTCGTTGCCCCAACACATGTCCTATCAGGCTGATGGTTGAGCGTCCACTTCTTGAAATTTCGCACCATCGCCTCTAGGGCGCCGTCATTGATCGGAACGCGGTACGAGTTCGCCCAAAATACCTGCTCCTAGATTGTTCCTCCGGCGCACTTCAGGTTCAGTTCCACGTTGGCGAAAGCTCGGTCGATCTACGCAATGATCTCTCACGGATCAGTTCCCAACCGCCTGTTCACGATATTATCAGCACGATCTATTCTTTCCGATATCCAATCCTTGTGGCTCGTGTACATACCTTGGCCTGCGCATTCGATGCAATCACTAATACAGACGGCTTGGGTGTCAATGAGGTCTCACTTTGCTTTCTGGCCCCAGCCGTCGTAGTTGAGGCATAAGGGGTGCGGCATACCTCATAGAGATAACGAAACCTTTGACTATAGATCTATAGATCTTTGGAAATGCGTGTTCTTAGACAAAATTTCACAACAATCGACCCAGGCAAAGAATGAACTGTTGCGTTAGGAACTTTCACGTGTACGTCAAGTCAATGTGTTGAACGAAATACAGCGTACTTTTCCACTAGACCATAACAAAAACCAAGGTTCCTGTTTATGGCCTAGGGAGGCCGTATTTGAGGTTTGACACAATGTTTTGTGCACACTTCCACTCCCCAGTGGGAGCTGATAGGTGGAATCTACAATTCAGTAGGACAAAATCATTGTGCAATTCTGGAGAGTGAGAGACAACGCAAACATTGCGATACCTGGCAAATCCAGCCATTTGATTATTAAACACAAGTTTAGAAACGCCAAAATCAGTCCGTCATTTCTTGGCTAATTTCACAACAGAGTGTGAATCTACACCGCTGTAACCGTACTTTGGTGATAAACATTCGTAGGTCCTTTAAAGACTCAATTGTTTTTGAGAAATGAAGGAATCCTGCAATTGTACAAAACTTGTACAAAAAACCCCTTTTAGACTAGGCCTAGTAATGTCTAGTTGTTGTCTCTTTAGTTCGAAGCTCACTTGGTCCACAATTCCGTCGTGCATTGAGCATGATAACTCCGAATGCACTACTGCACATGTGGGATAAAAAGTCAAGAAATCACATACACGTGTGTATGCAATAACTCTAAACCTTATACTTAGTTTCCATAAACAAATCGACCACTTCATTTAGTTCAAGCCTTTATGTTGCATTCAATGTGTTTGCGCATGCTCGGATTACTCGGGCCAATGACTCTTAGTGTCGAAGTCATCACATCACGGCACGAAAAGGTACTCATGTCGAAAGACATAGTATGGAAAGTGCTCTTAGATACCTGTTGCTTGTTACACCTAGACCGGGATTGAAGTCTAGATTCTCGAATGTGTACGTCGTAAATACGGAGTACTCCGAGAGGTTCCCACCTCCCAAATGCGCACTTTTGCAACGCTAACTACGCCAAGACATTCGAAGTGGGGCCGTGGATATCTTCCGCTTCTTCCGCCGTGTTAAAACACGCTAGTCTATATTAAGCACATCTTGCGGATAGCTCCCATGGTTTTTCTTCAGAATGTCCAACCTTGGAATATCAAAGGTTATATCCAGAACGCCCGTTTTACACAATTCAAGCCACATTTACTGTATACTAGTTACAAAACAATTGACAAAGAGAACTTAAGAAAAAAGACTTCTGGCCTGATTTTGAGAAACACTTTCAAAAGGACTACCAAGAAAGATGTGACAGGGCTGCATATGCGGCCGACTTTTCTTGTGCGTACTACCTTGCAGCATTCGGATTGATGCAGTTTAATTCCCTCAAGTAAGTAATTGGTCCGGTCCTTATTGTGAGACATGCATCTTCACGCCAAATCGATATCAGATTGTCATCTCCATAGGGACAACAGACGCAATTGCAAGATTGAGACGCTAGTTCTATTTTTGACGGCCAGGGCCGGTCCGAGGGGGCGGGATGATGCTCGGGATACGCATTCGGGAATGAGACCACGTGAGTGTCCCAGCCGACAAGGTCCCGTCTAAATTTTTTGCTCTAGGTCCAACAACATGGTGCTAAGAAGGTCCACTATGCTGAGCCGTGCAAAACTCATGGAGCATGGGCTTTAATTCCGATAGGCACTTCTTATCTGTTGATAGAGGACACCCAGGCGGCCTGGCCTGGAGAATGATGAAGCGATCGGCAGTCTGGCAGAGGACATGGAGAACATCGTTTTTTACGATGACGACATCACATAGTTTCTGTTGTTTCAAAGTAGCCCTGCATTCTTCGTGAGACACATTGGAATTTTTGACATTAGCCATGTTGTAGTGTGTCGAGTTCTGAGAAAGCTAGGGGCTGCTTCGGATCT